CGCTGTAACCACACTTGTGTTGACATCAGCATTGTAGTTGCAAAAATATTACATTTCCGTGAATGTATTATATCAAGCACAGTATGAATATAATATCATTGTAATATAACAGTATTTTAACTGAAAACTATTAAAAAAACGAGTAACATCTCTTGAACATTGGAAGGTTAGGTGAAGTCTTTTGTTTTCGTCATGTATTTTATCCTATTTTACATTGAAATACATCACGTTTCAGCAAAATTACTATTTATTTCCAAGAATATATTCATTCAGGCGCAGTTTAGGTAAAATATACGTGTGATGTAACATTTTTTTAATTGAAAACGATTAAAAAAACACGTACCCTCTAGCCCTGTTCAAGGAGAGGACTGGGAGAAGCTGTTTGGTGCTGCCGATGGCAAGGAAAATGATTTGGATGGATTTTAATGAAAATATTCAGAAATATGGTATCGTAGTATTTATTCAAATCAATTAGGATAGAATATTATTGTAATACAACAGTAGTGACGATGTGGAGGAGGCGGAGGGATAGAGCGGGGTGGAGGTGACTGGCGGGAGCAGGGACGAGTGGAGGTGCCAGCCAGTACATTACGGGTGTATTAATTGTTTTTATAGCTATTTTTGCATTTTAATGTTAAATACTGTACATTACGTTTCAACAAAACTGCCATTTATTTCTGAGAACATGGAAATGTAATATTTTTGCTGAAATGATGTACGTATTACAGTGGAAAGTGACGAAAGCAATGACTTTCGCTTTCTTTTGTTCAAAAGATGTTACCGTAATCGCTTTTTGAATGGTTTTCGGTTGTGGGATTATAAGGCTAATGATAGGATAGAATATTATTGTAATACAGTACGAGTACAACAGTTTTTTAACTGAAAACCATTCGAAAAGCGATTACGGTAAAATATTTTGAACAACGAAAGAAAGCGAAAGTCTTTCGTCATGATTTTATCCCACTTCCCACTATAATATGTACGTCATTCCAGCAAAAATATTACATTTCCATATTTATTTCCAAGAATATATTCATTCAGTCACAGTTAAGGTAAAATATACTTGTGATGTAATATTTTAATGAAAATCCAGTATCGTAGTTTTCTCTTGTTTCAAATTTAATTAACAAAGATTGATGTTTCAAATGTAATGAACAAAAATTTATGTCCAGTATCTATAAATTAACTTTAATAAATGAATACTTTGTTTTACATCGTCCTGTGCTACCATACCATGGATTTGGCTACTTTGGGCTCGCAAGAGATCTGCCCTGGCAACTGTACCGACACTCACAGCTGGTGGTGTGTTGGTGCATCGTTTCCATTGTTTACTGGTAGTTACTGGTAAATATTTTTCAACCTAACGAAACTATTACCCGTTTAGAGGTCGACCCCCAATTTTTGCCAAATAATTTGGTCTTAAAAACTCGAACTACACACAGGTATATACGGTAAATAAGGACATGGGGGGCCAGGGATTATTTGGGGGGGGGGCAGCAATAGTATACGGATTTTTAACATTCACGGGTATCTCTGTTACCTAACCCCCGCGAATGTTAAGGGCCGACTGTACATAGAAAATCTAAAATGGGTGTCTCATTCTCTTCTCAACACCACAAAACTCAAATGAGCTTGCCAGTCATTTTAAAGTGAATTACAAACAAAAATTTTGCCTGTGTACTGACGTTGGGACTTGAAAAAACGTAATTTGACAACATTTTGGAACGACTGAGGCAGGTCGTAAGTCGGGGAGGAGCTGTAGTAGGTATTACAAGAAATATTATTACTTTGACAATATTGTATATATTTTTTAAGAGATGATTTAAAGGAAGGGAGTGTAGTCTTTGCTCGGATGGGTGGGGGTAAGTTCTTTCACACCGTGATATTTTATGGAGGTCTGGGACTGAGAGGAGCGCATGGGGGGTGGTCTTAGTAGCTCTGGGTGCCTTAAGTTGTATCTCTGTTTATTCCGGAACTGGAAGTAATTACTGTCAAGCAAGTGATTGATAGATTTTTAAACAAAGAGGGCACAGCAGTAGGTGTTAATATCTTTGAATTTTAACATTTTCAATTTAGCAAATTTTTCGTTTGTGTGATCTGTTTTTTCAAGTAGGTCATTGTCCGTACAACTCTCTTTTGTGCAGTAACCAGAGATTGTGTTTTTGAAGAGCCAGAAACCCCCTATAGTGTGTGATAGTGTATCAGGTGTTGGTAAACAAGATCATGATAGATTTCTTTCATTGCTGTGAGAGTGAGTGACTGTCGAGTGTGATACATGAAACCGCACTGTTTATTGACTTTACTGTGAATGGCTTGTATGTGGTTTCTCCAGTTAATTTTCTCATCAACAATAACTCCGAGGAATTTAGTATTTTGTTCGCGTTTGAGGACTGTATTACCAAGGTACAGGGGGTCCAAGTCTGGGGGTAAGTTTTTCCTCCTGTGAAAGATCGTATAGTGGGTTTTCTCAAGGTTTAAGGTCAGTTTATTACATATTACCCAGGTCCTGACTTTAGTCAAATCAGTGTTCATAGTTCTCATCAAGGAATGGAGGTCTGAGTTGCTGGCATAGAAATTACTATCGTCTGCAAATAAGTTGTATTTTATGAGTGTGCTGGCGTGGACTATGTCGTTTATGTACAACAAAAACAGTACTGGACCGAGAATGGTGAGGAAAGGTCTCTGTAGGATTCCTCCTTTGTTGTTGATAGTCTTGTCTAGGGCTATTTTAAAGCACAGTACTGTCTGTTCCTGCTGATTGGTTTACTAGTCTCTGTGTGGAGAAACATTTCGTTGTGTCATTCTGCATGATAATTTTGTAAGCCTAGAGTCATGCTCCATTGTATTGGTGGTGCGTGAAATCTAAAAAGAATGGCCGGGATTCATGTTTTCCATCCCTTTTAAAATTTTGAATGTGTATGAGTTGTGCCTTATTGTGTCTTGTCTGAAGGGTTGTTAGTCCTCAGGCCCTCAGTTTATTTGGATAACCGAGATGACATAGTTCAGGAATTATTTTAGTCACCATGTTGCACCTTTTCTAATGATGTTGGGTCTTTTTGAAGGTAGTGTTTACATGCCCTGTATTCAGTAATCCAGACTGGGACATACTTGAGATCTGTACAGTTAAAGGAGCATTTTCATATCTTTGTATTTGAAGGCTATGCTTTATAATTCCCAAATCTTGATTTTTTTTTGTCACTATTGCCTCCACTTGTTCTGCCTCCATCAGTGACTGATCTATGACAACACCAATATCTTTCTCCTTATCGACAGTATCCAGGAAAGTGTTACTAACAGAATGGTGGTGATTTAGGTTGTTGCATCCTACATGCAGAGTCTTGCATTTTGTGTTGTTAAAGGTCTTTCGCTAGTCTAAAGACCATTTGAACAGCTTGTGCAGATCTTTTTGCATGGTTGCAACATCGTCTTGACTTGCAATCTTCCCAAATATCTTCATGTCATCCACAAACCTAACAATATGTCTTGATATAATTTCATCTGTCATTTATGTAGATCTCAACAGGTTGGATTCAAGAATAAAACTTTGTGCTATACTACTGAGAAATGTTTTCCATTCTGAATGTACTCCATTTATGACCACCCTTTGTGTCTTGTCATTGAACCTGTTGTTAATGCACTTCAAAATTTGGCCTATGATTCTATGTGGCTGGATTTTAGAGACTACCTGTGAATGTGGGACTTTGTCAAGTGCCCTAGATAAGTCCACGTATTACGCCCGAGATCAAAGGTTTGCTTGACCCCAAATAAGATAAAACAGCACACTTGCATCAGAAAACAGTCAGGATAAGTCAGTTCAGAGACTCCGTTTCACCACGGGTATCAAAATTTTGATAGTGACTGTACTACTCATCCACTGGTAGACCTTGGTCCATGTAATGTGTTACCATTTCAAACTCTAATTCTAATAAATCTTTCCTTATTTCTGGAGACTGAAAATATTCCTAAGGCCTAATTTTTTAAACAGCCCACTGAACCTGCCATGCACTTGACCCAGTTTGAGAGTAGTAAACTGGACCTATAGCCATAACAATAAATCAGACATGTTCACTGAGCTAAGGATCTTGTACAGTGTGTTTATTGCAAAGGTGGGAAAATTTCTGAAACAAGGTCTACACACAAAAACAGACATGCGTGAAACACACACACACACACTTATTAGTGGCACTTGAATTTATAAACAGGCAATATATAGTTTCCAAACAACATTAGAAGTAACTAATTCTACAAGCACAAACTATACAACAGAGTAAGAGATATACCCCAGCGAGGTATGATCTGTGCCTGATACTATGGGCAGAGACCATAGTTTCTGAGAATCGTATTTTCTTTTTTTTTTTTTTATTGACACGAAGAATCACTGAACTAACCTGTTGAGGAGGAAGTGGCTTCGCTCATTTATATGGGGGTTAAAAACTTCTACAGATTGTACAAATATTTCTAAGGTTAACAGAAAAACTTATTCCAGTTCCACGGTTTAGCCACAGTACTTGGATTCATGACAAAATATATAGTTCCCTTTAAAGGCATAAAATGATGCTCAAAAACACAGATTCGAAATTGTTGTCAGGTACAGTTGTGAAGTATGTGGCCAACGTCACAGAACTGGATTTAGACAAAATACTCACGTGTCTCGCGATCAGTATGTTTTGTTCATAATTATTCTCTTCAACACTTACATCATTGTGTCCCAGTGATGGTGATTTTGGCAATGCTCCTACGATATGGTTTATAACGAGACAACTGTTCTGTTCTGTTCTAGCAACGATGAGTGTTTAACTTTGTTCCTGAGAGTTTATAATCATGCCTTCACGTGTGTTGATCCACCAACCCCTGTACATGCCTCCCACCATTTTTGACAATAACTATTGTGATCAATACTAAAGAATTTTTTTTCATCATGCAACCAGGACAATAACACTTGTTTCATTTGTTCCTTGAGTATTCTATGTAGAGAGAACAGTTGCATCTGTGAGTATGATATGACCAGTTCCTACATCACAAAGTAAGTGCCAGCAGATCTGTTTTGAGACCCCAGAATCAGACAGAGTCATTCCTCTAATAAGTGTTCTTTATGTATATGAAGATAGTTTACCAACTAAAGGCAGTTTGACATATTATGTTTGTTGTAGAGTCTGATAAGTTCCACAAATATATTTGATATATTGACTATCCCAATAGGATCTCATATGCAATATAAAACAACTTCTTATGAAAATGTGTGCATGTACTCTTCCAGTTTTAAATTTATATAAACATCGATTCTCCTTCATTGTTTTGTGTATCCTTTAATTAAATTAATATTTGTAGAGAAAATATATATAATAGTATTATAAGCAGATTACTGAAAGGAAATGAAAATGTTGTTGAAACTGTATACTCGACGGTAAGTTTAGATATTTTCCTCAACCATCTTATATTTTTGGTAAAAGTCATTAAAGACTTTCTGCAACAATTTTCAAAAGCTACCATAAGGTGTCTTAATGTAAAGTGTCATCAATATTAGTA